TGTAAGTCAGAATGTCTGCTTGGCCAAAAGTACTTGTTGCAACCCAATGTGGAGTGGCAAAGGGAAGAGAAACACCCAGATTTATTACTTTTGAGGTCCAGGTGTACTTTTAGGGGCTGTTTCTGTTTTGTGATGAGAGAGAGTGCATGGGTGTTGGGTGTGGATATTGGCTGTCAGTGTGCCCAAGAGCTCCAATTGTCTGGCAAGGCAGTCATGGTGTGGCAGGAAGGGGCCAGGTAGTGTCCCTAGGTCCTACAGCTATGACAGCTTAATCTTTTCTTGTACTGGCTCTTTCTCTGCTTCTCTGAAACCACTGTTTGCCACCCTTCCGGGGATTTTCAGTGGACTTGCTGTGGCAGATGCCACTGAACTCTGAGAACTGTTTCTCTCCTGAGGAGGACAGTCTCAATTGTCTGGTGTGTAGCAATAAATGTAGACACGTTCTTTTTTATAAAGATAATAATTCAAGTCTAATATCTCTAAATGAGCATCTTTTAAGACTTTCATCTCCCTTAGTCTTATGTTGTTTTTAATAACCTGACTGGGAATGGTTGAATGCTATGTTTAATACACAGGCACACTTAACTGCCTTTTCATACCCTTCAAGCCATTGTTATGACAGAGCACAACAGTATTGATTATTTATTTGGTCAAGCTAAATAGCAGCAAGGTGGATAATTGCATTGAGATTGCTCTAACTGTATCTGAGTACAATACTCTCTCAGCAGCTTCTTTTGTATATTCCACATGGGGAGGGTGTAACATTTAATATCATATTTGCTTATTTGAAGATAATTGATGCTAGATACTTTTTCTGACTTAACAAAATGATACAAAATGTACTGAAATTACAATACAAATATAAGTTACACTTAGCAAAATGTAACAATTGCAATAGACAGTTCAATCACAGTATTGACGTGATCTCCATTACTGTTGTCTATAGTACGCTCACCATCAGGATGCTGGATATCCCCAGTGACTGGGAAGTAATATGTGTCTGAAAGCAGTTGAAGCCCATTGCTATCTTCAAAACTCTTTCGTTAGTTCTTTAGTTTTTATAATATCTGTTGTGCTGAACCATGTGTACACTTCTCCCCATGCTGGTCTGGCTAAGCCAGGGAGACATTCACAATCTTTTAATTAACTCAGGGATAAACAGTTACACTACCAGCTCATGCACTCAACTGACAGTTGTTTATCTAAAATAAAGACCACCCTTCCAGCCCTCTTTGTGTTGAGATAAAGTCAGCATTCTTTGCAATACCTGTGGGCAGTCACAGCCTGCGTTATTCCATGAGCTTCATGGACAAGTCACTCTTGCCTGTCTCTTCTGAGCCTTCTGCCTTTGGAGGGGTTTATTGGTCAGTCACATGCTAGTAGATCTTGTGTACGCACTGACACTGCAGCAGTATATTGGGAAAACGCTGCCATTGCAGCATGGTGTCTATCGTGCATTCAGTTGACAGAGCTGTGCTATGACCACATAAGGACATATAAAAGCAGGCCTACTTTTTCAGGCTTGCATTGTAAAAACTTGCAAATAAAAGGGTCTCATTTAAATGTCTAGAGCCCACATCCTCCAGTTCTTCACAATCAGGTTTCAAATGATACTGGGGAATCAAATGGATTAAAACACGGGATTTCAAAACAAAGCCAAACCCCTTCAAATCCCAAAGCTTCCACTTCACTGAAACTTCTGAACATCAGAGCAAATTTCTTAGGCTCCCATCATTTTTATCATACTGAAAGAGATGCTACATTTGAATCTGCACATTAAATACTTTCTGCTTGGGGTTATACTTCAGAAGGACTCATAAATCATCAGTTCTGGATGGCCACCTTCTCTCCTGCCCTCATGTGTTTCCTCAGCATGCTAAAATACTGCAGCCTGTTCAGCTCAAGCTGCTGAATAGCCCGTCATGTGAGGTCTCCGAGTCCCTTTGCCAGTGGGTGGCCCGTCCATTGCATTGGGCTATCAAGGATGAGTCCTTACTCTCCTTGGCTGATAGCAGTGTATTTCAGTGGAAAACGCATGTCGTTGGAAACTGAATGCTATGTAGTGACATGCCATCACATCAATGGAACCTCACAGGGAATGATGATGTAAAAATTAACCTCTGGCACATTTGATTGCTCTCAGTAATACTGAGGAATGGGAGGGGTCTGTTCTCACTGAATTGGTAATCACAAGTTGAAATCATCTCACTGGTTCCTTGTAGTTAGTCAGTAGACAAGGTCATTCGCAGTAATTTACTATTTCATTGTTGTAGTGGAAAAAGAGACCTTTGATAAGGTCTGTGATATGAAAATGAACAGGTGGGCAAATGGGACCTGCTGCCTTTTGTCCTTGAAAACAAATTCTGGGAAAAAAAAAGAATGCATTTAACATGTTCAGTGACATGGCTAGTTTCAGAAAGAACATACTGGAGACAGTTCATGTACAAAATGCACTGAGGTTTCTTTTCTCTTGGAGTAGATGTGCCATTTTGTGGACTTTCTGTTTTTCTCACAGATACTAATCAAATGTCAGGAGTTTTCTGATCTTCATATTCTCTGTGTTTTTTTATCATTGGCATGACTCAAGCTTTTTCATGAAGTGTTGTTGTTGAGACCTTGATCTTATAAGTCAGTTCCAAATGAAGACCTGAAATTGTGTCATGAGCAAAAGTCAGAAGGTTTTTTTGAAGGAGGAAATTGTAGGAAAAGCCAGAAGGAACTTGGGCAAAACTCTGGCTTTCAAATTCAGTTTTATGTCAGGCAGCTAAAACTCATCTGCAGCATCACTTTACATCTGATTTTGAGATTCCTTCCTTGACTCAGATGAATCATTGGCCATTTAAAGTGACATGAAACCTTATGCATGGTCTCTGTTGGAGAGGAAAACACTTGCAGTTCTGATCACTTTCAGTCTGGTAGAGCAAGAGTTGCTATGCTTGACCATGTGAAGAAAACCAGTAACAGTTCCTACCAGGGACTGGGCAATGACATTAGAAAAACTTAAGCCATGAAAAGGGCTCAGTTTCTAGTTACCAGTGTGATTCACCTGGTGAAGACCCAGGACATGTTGTGTGATACATCTGTTATTGGCTGAGAGTGGCTGATGAGGTACCCAGGTTTGAGCTCGGACTAATCCTGAGAGCTAGACACCTCTGAATGCTGGCAAACTCATTCGTTCTCTCAGAGCTGTTAGATTTCCAGTTGTCTTTTAATCACCTCCCTTTTCTTTTACCTTCCAGAGCCCCCTTTGAGGGTCTATGTGTTATGTTTTGGAATACTTTTGATAAAGTATTTTTGTTTACATGGTTGGAAAGTGTGCAATTCTGAATTTGAGTGCATTGCTCACAGATCACTTGATTTATGATAACGTATAATCATTGTGAAAAGGTATTTTATCTTCACCTGTTGTGCAATCCAGGAAAAAAAAAAAGAAACAGAAGAATGTTATTGAGCTAGCTAGCCAAATAATAACTGATAGCATTGATCTGTGTGAATTTTGCCAGCTGCAATATGAACTTTGTTATCTTGCAGTAGTATAAATTGCCAGTGGAGAGACCACAGCCTTATACTGAAGGCATCATGCAAGTCCTCCTCCTACTTGCAGCTGTAGGGTTTTGCTGGGCACAGTACAACCCCAATACTCTCTCTGGGAGAACGTCTATTGTCCATCTCTTTGAATGGCGCTGGGCAGATATTGCTCTTGAGTGTGAACGCTATTTAGCTCCTAATGGATTTGGAGGAGTTCAGGTAAGTTGTTTCCTATGAGTAGGTAGAAAATAGCATTGTAGCATTTGATTAATACATCAAAATGCCTGCACTGGAGGCAGTCAGCTCCAAGTAACTTTGGTGTTGGAAAGGCAGGGATGGAAGTATTAACTGCTGTTAGACCCAACCCTAGAGCCTGCAGGGCCAATGGATGATATTGAATCACTAGCAGATCAATTACAAAGGGGTACGCTTTCCTCTGAAACACTTCCCCTGCAAAGCTAAGTTTTCCTCTTCACCTTGTTCTAAGGGAAGTGCATAAACATTGAGTTTTGGCTTTCCTAAGGATATCACTATTCTAGGTAAAGATAATTCCTGTGTGTCCTTGAAAGCAGGCCTATGCTGGGCCTGGGCAGCCCGCAGGAAGAAAAGAAAACATCTTCCTTACCAGTCTACAAGATGTCTATTTCACAGACCTGAGCTTATGCTGTGAGAGAGAGAGACTGGGGGGGCACTAGCCTGCCTCTGAGGGCAGAGGTACTGAGCACAGTTTTGCCCTTAAAAAGTTGAAATGAAACCAATTGGTTTGTTATCAAAGTACATAATTTCATCTGCAGGTTTCACCTCCAAGTGAAAATATTGTCATTACTAACCCAAACAGACCCTGGTGGGAAAGATACCAGCCCATCAGCTACAAGCTCTGTACTCGATCAGGAAATGAAAATGAATTCAGAGACATGGTGACAAGATGCAACAACGTTGGAGTAAGTGCCTTGAAAATCTGTATCTGGTATGGGAAGAAGTGCTGTATCAGCTGAGGGAAGTTACTGCTGTGTCCTCAAAGGAGGCATAAACTGAGAGTAAACTGAAGGGGAAAAAAAGATTGAATTAACAGTGATGTGGTAAAGCTCTGTCACTTCACCATCATTACAAAATAAACTGAGATGGATTTATCGCTTTTCCAGGTTCATATTTATGTGGATGCTGTTGTCAATCACATGTGTGGGGCTGCAGGTGGCTCAGGCACACATTCTACCTGTGGAAGCTATTTTAATGCTGGAAACAGAGATTTTCCAGCTGTGCCATACTCTGGCTGGGATTTCAATGATGGCAAATGTCGAACTGGAAGTGGAGAAATTGAAAATTATGGTGATATGTATCAGGTAACTTTCTCTGGCAAAAGTTTGAAATCTTTTTTTGTTTGGTTGTTTTTTTAACCTGTTGTGTAAACATTACAGTAAGGCCAAACAAAGGGAGTAGTTTCTCAGAAAACCTGTGCTTAGTCACCTGACAAGTGAATGAAGTAGTGAACATAGGTACAGGAAAGGTACTTGTGGTGCAAAATATTCTAAGTACTGAGAAATCAAGAACCCTCCCACCACGTTACATGTGGGCACATGCAGGAGTTTGCTTCTGAACTGAGGCAAGTGTCCTCAGCTCAGCTGGTGAGCTCTTACAGATTGTGAACTCGGCTGATCCTGATAAGGAGCCCCCTTGGAAAATTGACAGCAGTGCAAGGTGGTACCCTGGTTGAGTGACTTATTTTTGTAAACCAAATGTGTGGCAGTTCTTTCTCAAGGTTACTGCTCTTCCTTTGGCCACTTTGCAGTGACACACCATGCCATTTCTCAGCCTCAATTCTGATGACATCTGCACAGGGAGGTGACATATTTCACTAACTGTCCTAACTTGAGAATTGAGCTGCATAGTAAATTTACCTATGTTGTGGTGCAGACCTTGGTATAATTCTCTTCTATGCAAATTAGATATGCAAACAGAATTGATTTTATGTCTCAAAACATGCAAACATTTCATTGAAAGGTTTTGCAAGCTGACAGAGTGACACCTCAAGACTTTTTTTTTTTTTTTTCTTTTCATTACACAGGTCCGGGACTGCCGCTTGGTTAGCCTTCTTGATCTGGCCCTGGAGAAGGACTATGTGCGCTCAAAAGTTGCCGAGTACATGAACTATCTCATTGATATTGGTGTAGCAGGCTTCCGAATTGATGCTGCCAAGCATATGTGGCCTGGGGACATAAGGGCATTTCTGGACAAGCTAAAAGATCTAAACACTAAATGGTTTTCTGCAGGAACTAAACCTTTCATTTACCAGGAGGTAACCTGCATGTTTTTTCCTTTATGTTTGTCTTTCGTATCGCTTTTACCATCCTCCTTCAGAGGAATGGCAATAATGTATCTTCATCCAACTTCGCCCCAGAAAGAGCTCACCATTTCTTTGGAGCAGCCCTACAGACATAAGTAGTTTTGCTTTTTAAAATTGCCTCCAGAACAGATTGCTGTTAAACGTAACCTTTTCTTTAGTCAGTCATGTTTTTACATGTGTCCCTCGTGTTATGCTGACTTTGGGTTGACCTACACAGCAGAAGTAAACATACTTGAATATTTTTCCTCTCAAAGTAAAGCAAGAATGAATGTTGAGGACTGTACACTTCATTTTTTTGTCTCTCTGAGATGAGAACACATACACAGATTGTCCTTTGTGTACCAGGTAATTGACTTGGGTGGAGAGCCAA